TTGCTAGTTGCGGTCTCAGACTTACCCAGGCGTGTTTACATCTCTCCTGAGTTCCTCGCGTCACCCCCCAACCAGATCTTGACGTTGAATTTTGTTTGTCTTTCTTAAAACTCAGTTCAGGGAAATACTGTGAAATGTACATGAGCGGTCCTATTTTCTGACAGCCATCCTTCCATGATTCTTAGACGTATGACGCATCCTCCTTGTTTTCCAGCTGTCTGTCGATTCCCATGTCAGAATGGAGGTATCTGCCAACGCCCAAATGCTTGTTCCTGTCCAGACGGCTGGATGGGGCGCCTCTGTGAAGAACGTGAGTCGCTGTGTCCTCAAATTGTCCTTTCAGTCCCAATCATGTGCCTGGAAGCTGCCAACTCAGGGGAGTTCCTAGGAACTGGCTTTACTAGGGGCAGGAATTCATTTGCTTAAATCCTGTAGCAGACCAGACAGAGCACCTAGGGCTGGTCTAAATATGTCAGTTAATTGCAGCAGATCTAGAATTTTAGTGACCCTGAAAATATAGTTATCAAGATCCATTCAAAGCCATCTCCACCTGCCACCTGGCACGAGTTTCCAAGTATTTTCTTGGGAAGCAGCTTGTAATAGAAGGTCTCCCGGCCTTGGTCTTCCCTTACATCAAGTCCATTTATGTCCTACGCCGTTCACTGCTGCACTTAGTATAAAATCACGGCTTTGCACAACACTGTACTTTGCAGGAAAAACTTGGAGCGCACCATTCACCCTTTTTCATTGAGGATAGCTCCTCCCAATTAAGAAAAGAAGGAAAGTGGGTGCTCCTATATCTACACAGTGCTTGACAAATTACTGTAGAATTTTGATTCTCATAAAAATGCATTTAAATTTGATCTTTGATAAGAATGTAAATGAGTGGTTTTAATTTTTTGATGTCTAAACTACACTTTGTTTCAGTATCTTAAAATATATATATCTCTGAGGATAAAAAGATTTCGTGTTTCATTGGGAGTATGTAAATCACGTGAAGAGTCATTGACGTCATGTCCATTGGTCTCTATCAGTTTTTTCCAAGGCCAGACATTTTTTAAGAGATTCTAGAAGTTTTTTAAGTATAACCGCTTTGCAAATCTAGAAAGGAAAATATATGATGGAAATAAATTTAGGCTGCTAACAGCTCACCAAAGCACTTGTTCTCTCAGTGGTTCAGAAAGAAGAGAACCACATTTTTCATTCCTCTTCTCCCCCGGTCCTTCCTTCCCACTTAGGGCTTCCACGCTTGACCTGCTATCAGGGTCCAAAGACTCTGAAAACATTTACCCTGCTGGAACAACAGACTTAGCTTGCTTTGCCAAACATGGTCCTGTTCTGCATTAGACTGGGGCTTCCCAAGCTTGACTCTGCATACAGACCATCTGGGAGATGCTAAATGCAGGTTCTGATTCAGTAGATCTGGGTTGGGACCTGAGAGTCTGCATTTCCGGCCAGCTCCTACCTCATGCCAACGCTTTTGGTTTAAAAACCATGCTTTGGTAGCAATCCAATAGACCATCTCACTCCTTTTAAACAGACTATGCCTCTTGAAAGAGCTCAGTAGTTCCTAGTGGGAGAAATGATTGCCGTGGAGGGTTTAGAGGAGGCCTGGTTCAGTCACCGACAGGCCTCAGCTCCAAGGAAGGATGGGTTGTCCCATCACTGCTAACATGTTGCCAACACCAGCCCACAGAATAGCTCATCTGACTCCCATTCTCATATTTAATTCAAAATAAGACAAGAACCTTAAGGCAGCCACACCCTCGTAGAGCATTTCATGTAATTTGTAATGGACATTTGAAATGATAATAAATGGAGAACATTCTGCTCATTTTGTGAAAAGAAAGCAAAGCACTTAATGTATCCTCTCCAAAAGAGTGCATTTGGCACTGGAGTCATTACATTAGAGCTAAGGGTCCAGACTGACTTTCTCAACTGTGTTTTCCCAATGATACTTATTGATAAACAGAACACGTGCGGCAAGTTTATGTAGTGGTCATCCAGGGTTTACTCCTGCAAAGTGTCTTTTGAACCCTTGAGCATACATGAGCGTACGCATTTTGATCAGGTCCTTCTCCATCTCCTTTCTAGCAATCTGCATTCTTCCCTGTCTGAACGGTGGTCGCTGTGTGGCCCCTTATCAGTGTGACTGCCCGCCTGGCTGGACAGGGTCCCGCTGTCACACAGGTAGGTCTCCTCTCATGGCTTGTTTTCTTGGTGACTTGGCTCCATGAAGCCCTGGAGGACACTGATGAGTGCAACTCAGATTCAGAGATGGCAGTGAGACGGAAGGGAATCAGAGTTTCTCAAGAATTCCTCAGGATGGCTCCTTGAATGGCAGTCTCCGTGCTAAACCTACAGTTGCCTCAGAGGCACCACTTGGGGTCGTGTGACAACAGAGAGCATCTGAGTGGACTCAGTTATTAGCCTTCTTTATGTCATCTGCTCTCTTTTACACAATGTAGAGAAAGCATGATGCAGAATTTCAAGAGAATATTTATTTTAAATTCTGTGACGCTCAATAACTAAATTTGTAGTAACTATGTAGAGAGTACACAGCTCTAAATAAATACAGTTTAACTTAAAGTGGAAAAACTCATCAAAGAGACAGTTCCTTAACATGACGACAGTAGCAAACTGTTGTTGATTGACTGGTGACAAATATGTGTGGCCCCTTATCAGTGCCTATCTCAAAGACAGCATTTATCCTACTATACTTTGATACCCATTTAATTGCTTGATTATTTATCTGTCCCTGCCCTCACTAGATTATATGCCACTGAAGGCAGGATGTTTCTTTGTGATCTCTAGCGTAGCACCTGCAAGGGATAGATTTTTCAGCAACTGTCTGATAAATCAGTAAATTTAAAAGAACATATTTTTACCTTTTTAATGTCCTGATTTTTAAGCAGGCAAAAAGCACGGTTTAAAATAGGGAGACTGGTTAGGGAGTTATCAAAGCAAGAGGTAATAAAGTCGGGAGAAAGGATGAGCCAAACAGATGAATTTGAGAGAAGTTAGGGAGATGGATCAACACTCCTTGGCTGTAGATTTATCATGAGAGTAAAGGTCTGAGAAGAGTCAAGACGCGTTTCCAGTTTGGGTCCCTGGATAGAAGGTGGTACCATTTACTGAGAGAGAAAAACCATGAGGAACAGGTGTGGAGGTACAGGTAAGGAGTTAAGTATGGATGTGCCGAGTTTGAGGGGCCTGAGGAACATATAAGGGAGAGGTCTGACGGACAGTGGGCTGATGGTTTAGGCTCCCAGAAGATACATCTAGATTGAAGATACAGATGTGTAAGTCAACCTCGGAAAACCTATTCATGGGGGTAAAAATAAGTCTGGGCAGAAGACAAATAGCAGGAGAAGGTAGCCCAGAATGGAACATTGGAGGCACACATGTTATCGGGATGGAGGAGGATACAGGCTTTGAGACAGGGAAGTGAAAATAATGACAAATTTGCTAGCACAGTCAGGTACTGCTAAATCACACTCTTGAAAAGGAGTAGTTTTATATGTATATATATTGCAGAATTTATGGAGAATTAGTTGTGGATTATTGGGTTTTATTTTTGCTATTTTTAACCCTGCTTTGTTTCATAATTTCCTTTTTGTTATATTGCAAATATGCACATTCTGTTGGCCTGCTTACGAAGAAAGCTCTCCAAGGGCCAAGACTGTATTTTGTTTCTTATTCTCTCTTTCCATGCTTGTCAAGTGCCTGGTTTGCTGGCATTTTCCGCATATTTTATGAATGAATGATTTAAACAGTGACACTGGTTTAATATCTCCCCAAAGTTGAGTTTTTCAGCTGGGGAAGGCTACGTTTCCAAGCTCTAATGAGGCCAAAATGATGAGACTGAAATGTTTCTCTTTTCCAGCTTTCTCCCAACAGGCATTTTATTTTCTCTTTGATACGTTAAATTTGCTGGTGTTAGATCTTTATCAGTTTTTAGCATCTTTAGTTTTGTTTTTTTTTAACAAATAGATTGATGCTGGGGAAGACTTTGATTATGAGACTGTGGATTTGTGAGAAAGATGTCTGTCTGGTAAATCTCTGGGTGTCCACTCAGGGTTTCATCTGTAGCTAAATTTTTAGGCTAATTCAGAACCCAAACAGACTCCAGGTTCTGTAATTCCAGTTCAAGTTGGTTAAAAAGCCATGAAATTTGTCTCCTAGGAAACACAAAGGGCTTTTGAGCCATCAGTTATTTTAGACCATCAACGTTCCTGGTTTATCGTCATAAGCACTGATGTCTGATGTAATGACTCAGTCGATCGAAGAGTGCAGTGCTAGCTCCCTTAAGAGATTTACAGTTTAATTGCACATATGAATAATTTGCAGCTCAAAACAGTGTGTCAAATTGGTTGCATAAAGAAAAAGATTAAAGAAGAGAAAAATCACTGGACTTGGAGTTGTCAGCAAAGGTTTCAGTATGTAGGGAGATCTTAACCTGGGACTTAAATATGGAAATTGACTAGCTGGGAAGGGAAAAGGGAGGTCGGCCCACATAATGACATGAGTTCGAGCAAAGTGACAGAAATGCAAAAGGTAGACCCTGGGGAATGGCGGTGGCTGGAGCAGAAAACAGAGTCAAATCTTATTCTCCATGCCTTCATGGACATCTTCAGAATTGCTAAGTATTAATTCAATAAATGCATGAATTTTTCATCCCAGCTGTCTGCCAGTCTCCCTGCTTAAATGGTGGAAAATGCGTCAGACCAAACCGATGCCACTGTCTCTCGGCTTGGACAGGATATGACTGTTCCAGGTAAGACAACCAAAACTGTGTATCTAACATAAAGAGACTGAAATTCAACTTACACTGTCTCAAGAGCCAGAAGGTATCTGTAGTTCAAATGTAAGCATTTTGTATCCAAAATCACCCATTTCGAGATACTCTCTAAATCTCAACTAAAGCCAACACAAGGAAACATGAGTTAAGGACTGACAAATACAACAATGATTTCTCCAAAAAAAAAAAAAATCATCTTATGCTCACTTTTGCAACACAGGTGCTAAAATGGGAACAATACAAAGAAGATTAGCGTGGCCTTTGCACGAGGATATGTAAATGTGTGAAGCACGCCATATTTTCCCACAATAAAAAAAAAAGAAAAGGGTTAATTAAACAAATAAACCAACTGCCTTCTTGAACAGAAGCTTGCATCCTTTGGATGCAAGGATGCAAAATAAACTCAGTACATTTTATCAGTGTTTATTTGCATTCCTGATAACAATAAAAAATAGCATTGAAATTGATGATACAAATGTTTATTTTTAAAGTCAAAATTTTTGTTCTGTATTTTTTTACTGTATATATATATGTATATATTTAGCATTTAATTGACTGCAAGAAAATTTATGTAAAAATACATTCTAGCAATGGGGGGGTCCCATTTCTAATCAGGTAAACATAGTTGGGAGAAGATTATCACAAAAATAAATGAAGGGAAAATAGCTTTAAAACAACTTAAGCTTTTTTATTGAGGTATAATTACATACAACATTATATTAGTTTCAGGTGTACAATGAAACGACTCAAGATTTGTGTATCTGTTGGGCAATGATTACCACAATGTCTAGGTAACATTGTCACCGTACATAGTTACAATGATTTTTTCCTTGTGATGAGAACTTTGGAGATTTACTCTTCTTAGCAACTTTCAAATGTGCAACGCAATGTTATTCATTATAATTGCCATTACTGTACATGACATCCCCATGACTTAATTTATTTTATAACTGGAAGTTTGTATCTTTTGACTCCGTTCACCCATTTCCCTCACCCCCTACCCCCACCTCTGGCAACTGCTAGTCTGTTTTCTGTATCTGTAAGTTTGGCTTTGGTTTTGGTTTTTAGATTCCACATACACGTGAGATCATATGGTATTTGGTTCATTTCACTTAACATAATGCTCTCAAGGTCCATCCATGTTGTCTCAAATGGCAAGATTTCCATTCCTTTTTATGGCTGAATAATATTCCATTGTGTGTGTGCGTGCGTGTGTGTGTGTGTGTGTGTATTTCACATTTTCTTTATCCATTCATTTATCAGTGGACACTTAGGTTGTTTCCATGTTTTGGCTATTGTAAATAATGCTGAAATGAACATGGAGGTGCAGATATCTTTTTGAGTTTGTGTTTTTGTTTTCTTATGGATACCCAGAAGCGTACCGTAGAACATATGGTAGTTTAATTTTAAATTTTTTAGGAACCTCCATTCTGTTTTCCACAGTGACTGTACCAATTTACATTCCCACCACTGTTCCCTTTTCTCAACATCCTCAACAGCACTTGTTATTTCTTGTCTTTTTGATAACAGCCATTCTAACAGGTATGAGATGACATCTCAGTGTGGTTTTAATTTGCATTTCCTGATGATTAGTGATGTTAATCATCTTTTTATGTACCTACCTGTTGGCCTTCTGTAAATCTTCTGTGGAAAAATGTCTGTTTGGATCCTCTGCCCATTCCTTTTGGAATATTTTGGATATTAGCCCCTTATCAGATATATGGTTTGCAAATATTTTCTGCCACTCAGTGGATTGTCTTTTTATTTTGTTGATGCTTCCCTTTGCTGTGCAGAAGCTTTTTAGTTTGATGTAGTCCCACTTGTTTATTTTTGCTTTTGGGGTCAAATCCCCCCCAAAAAAATCATCTTCAAGGTTGAGGTCAAGAAGCCTACCAACCTACATTTTCTTCTAGGAGTTTTATGGTTTCAAGTCTTACGTACAAGTCTTTAATTCATTTTGAGTTAAATTTTGTGTATGTGTAATTTGTGTAATATAGTGGTCTAGTTTCATTCTTTTGCATGTGGCTGTCCTGTTTTCCCAACACCATTTATCAAAGAGACTATCCTTTCTCCATTGTATATTCTTGGCTCCCTTGTCATAAATTAATTGATCATATACGTGTGGATTTATTTCTCGGTTATCTATTCTGTTTCATTGAACTATGTGTCTCTTATTAAGCCAATACTGTACCATTTTGATTACATATTGCATCATACTATTGATAAAATCTTTTCAATATTAAAACATTGTTCTCACAAATACTGCACTGTTGGAACATTACCAGCTCTATTTTAAACCTTTTAGTATGGAGAATTATATTACATCACTTAGATTTGTATTATGTACATGCACTTCCATCTTATAGAAATCATTAAAAACAAATGGATATTTTCATACTCATTTTTAAAAGTGGGAAATTCAGTTAACTGAGAAGAGCTTTCATTTTCCCATGGCCTTTTATTTCATTTTGATTGGAATATGAAAGTCAACTTGCAAAGACAAAAACCTATTTAAATACAAACTGAATTAACAACAACAAAAAAAAAACTGTCTCATGACAATGAATTTCTTCATATCACCTCAAGTATATGCCATCTCTGCAGAGGGGAAAAAAAACTGAACCTCAAAAAACAAATTTGAATTGTACAAGTATATTTAGAAGCTCCAAGATGAAGATGCTAGTTTTACCTGAGAGCAGAGTTGAAAGAACTTAAGAAAATGAGAGCAAGATGGAAAGGATTTCTGGGGCGAAAAAGAGAGCAAAGAAAAGGAGAGAGAGAAAAAAAAAGGAATGAGAATGACAGTGACTCAAAAAGGAGCAGGAAGTATTTATAACATTCTTATTACCGTAGACCTTGTGTTTCAACTTCTTCATCTTACAGGTGAGAAAAGGAGATTCAGAGTTTGTGTGGTTCCCTAATATCAAAATAGAGTTGACCTTTAAACAGCATAGATTTGAACTGTGTGGGTCTTCCAGACTTGTTTCAATAAATACATACTACAGTCCAACACAATCTGCAGTTGGTTGAATCCGTGGATGCAGAACCACAGACACAGAGATTTTTGACTGCGTGGAAGGTTGGCGCCTCTAACCCCCACGTTGCTCATGGTCAACTGTCCCTCCATAGGAGCTCCTTCTTGACTGGGGGAAAGGTAGTTATTCGCTTATGTGAAAATACTCTCCATGAATAGAAAGAACAAAATCTATATATTAATGCAAAAGAGTGATAAAGGAATCCAAAAAATGATGGCAAATTAACCTGAGAGGCATTTCCCACATTCATGGAAAGGTCAACTTCAACCCAGAGAACTCCGCCCCCTTCTACTGTGATGGATTTTTCTAGGAGACCTGTGTTAGGTAGGATTCACTTACTGCAGCTCCACTTGGCTTAAGCAAAGAAAGGGGTTTGTTATCACCGTAATGGGGCCTTGTATGAAACCCAAAGACATGGGTTGGCTAAGCTTCAGGAGGACCAGACTGAGGACTTGAAAGCCACCTGAAGCCTCTCCACGTCCCGTCTCACCTCCTCTCTCCAGCATCTCCTCGGTCCTCGCTTTTGCTGCAGAGTGGTTTCCTTTGCTGTTCAGTTCACATAAAAGGACAGAATTGCTTACAGCTCCCACATTGCACACTGCAGTAGTCACAGAAGTAGTGTGCTGGCCCCGTTTAAAAATCCAGGAGAAAAGCTCACTAGCCCAGATTGATTCAAGACCCCCCAGCAGATCAGTCAACCGTGGTCCTAGGTCCTAACATGAAAGGTCATTCATTTTGCTAAAACTTTTACCTGACCTCTGGGTAAAGGGCAGAGGAGGCTGGCAGTTCCCAGAAGAAAGAAAGGTGGAGTGTAATTCCCTGAAATGGGAAGGGGAGAAAACTTCCCTTTTGAAATCAAAACAGTAAATGTTTACAAATAATTTTCAATTTCCTTCTCACCCATGAGCTTGAGTGCCTCAAAGATTGTCTCCCTCAGACTTAGTACCGGCACAAAAAAATTGGTGCTCAATCAATGCTTGTTGACAGAGCAATTTCCGGGCATCCGTGACAGCTGGTGGAGAAACACTCCATGGCATTCATTAAGTCCCTCCACCTGCAGCTTTCCCCACTGATGAATAAGACTGACCTGGGACTATTCCCAGAAAGTTCAACCTTAAGAAAGAGATTGTGTTTTCTCTGATCTCTGTGTGCAGAACACTGGTCCTAAACAAATGCCATCAATAAAAACCATAGATGGTTAGCCCTGTCAGAGACCTTCAAGTTCACGACGTCCAAACCCCTCATTTTACAGATGAGCGGATTATGAGAAGGAAACTAGGGACCGAGTCAGGACTAAAACTCAGGTATCCTGATTCTCAGATCTCTCCGCACCTTCACGCTTCTTCACGCCCCTCATTCTCTCAAGGAGTAACCGTCATCCATGCAAACAACGTACCAAATGATGCCCAGTTGTCTGAGACGTCCAATCCCGTTTTAATCAGCTACTGCACAGCCGTTCCCCCTTCAGTTCAGTCTCTTCGGTTGAATCTCTTTATTTCTTTGTTCCAGGAAAAGGAGGACTGGGTTTTAGCCACCGCACAACCAGCCAGCTCTCCTAAAAGTAGGATCATCTCTTCCCGATCGTCCTGGACATCCTGGAACTTACGCAAAGAAATTCCAACACGGTGCTGGGTCTTGTTCTGTTTTCATCAACTTGTTCACTTTGGGTTTCCCTTTTGATCTTGTGTTATCTTTTGTTATTTCTTGTGACAGCCTTTCTGACATGTTTCCATTTTTAAGTATGCCTGTATTTTCTATACAAAAATATATTCAATAGATGCTGCTCCACTCTCACAAATGTACATACTCTGCTGTCTATTGAAAAAGTTCCTGGTACACATTTTTATTCAGTTACTTAAAATGATTTTTCAATTAAAATATATTTTGCTACTAAATAAAAAAAATTTTTTTTTGTTTACTGGATAGTGCCATTTTGTGAGGTGGCCAGGGAATAACAAAGAGATTTGATGATCTAGTTTTGCTTTTTTTTTTTTTTGGCATAGTTGACAGGATTCATGATGATCTTTAACCTTTGTTACTGGCACCACAATACAGGACCATATGTAGCGTACAAAGAAATTACAGTAGAGGAGACCCCATCCTTCGAGCTCCATCTTCTTTACAGTATGTGTCACAATAAAGATTCCCTTTTGTTTAATCAGAAAGTAACTATTGCACATACTACCCTCCATACAAAATGCTGTCTGTCCTGGTGCTGAGGGCAGCCCGGCTAATTCCTTTCCCAGCATTTGGAAGGCTACAGGCATC